CGTTAATTTTTGTACTGAATTCTTGCCGGTGAACATCTAGTCAACTTTTAACACCTTGCTTAAAAAAAAAAAAAAATGTGGGTTTTGTATGAGTAAATGCATGGGTTTTTTGTTAGGTATATATACCAGGTCATATTAATTGTTGGCATAATAATGGCTGAATATGCTACGCGTCTTCGATAGTCCAAAACAAACTACAAACATGTTCATACTAATGCAAGTACACAATATTGACTTGTTCATCGAGTTTGAAACGAGCACGACCTCTGGGGCCAGGATATTTTTGAGACATGGAGAGAAATCTTGTATGATAGCAGAGTCGCCCCACTTTGACGGCATGATGTACCTTTGTATTATGGTTTATGAGTAGGAGAATGCTAGCTACTTCTTTGTACCTTCCATTTCTTCGTCAATTTTTTATGATAATCGATAATTGAAATCGAATGATTTTTGTGGTCGTCCTTTAAGGATTGTTCATACTAAAAATCAATTAAATTGAAAATCGTTTAGCAATTTGATTAATAGCGTGCTACTTCAGTGTTTAATCAGACACACTAGGTTCATATATTTGCTCGTTTCTAAAAATTGTAGGATGAAAACATCAAGGAAGAAAGTAGAAGGGGAATGTAGCTAATATTTCCCATATGCTGAATATTATATTGTGAGATAGCTAAATGCTTATGAACAAGACATCTTTAGAAAGAAAAAATAACATAATCAATGTTTCACATACACAACTAACAACATTTCATTTACGTTTGTGGCCTAGGATTTGTGGATGATAGAAAACTTTTGATTTGTAAAGAGCAGTGTCACCCAACTTTGACGCATAATGCCTGCATTATGTTAGCAGTGTTAAGTTTCTTCCAATATTGTACTATAAAGTATGGGCTGTTGGCTAATGTAGGATGCAAATGGTTGTTTTTTGTCCACACGGCTATTATTCATGAAGGTTGGTGAGAGAAACGACCTACACTGCTTGCTGATGAAAGAAACCCAAAGAATTTAACCAATGTGAGTACGTAGGTTCTATATAGGTTTTTTTTTTTTTTTTTTTGGGGATGTTATCAGTGTACTGGTATTATAGCACGTGTATTATTTTATTTATTAATATTATAACACGAAAATTTATAACACTACATGAGATGTGACCTTCAAACAAAAAAAATTTATCATTTTGATACGCTTAATAAAGCTCGTAGTTGCTGAAATCGGCATGGACCAACTAAACTGACGGCTTGGGTCGCCATTGTGGATTTGCAAGTTGTAGCTCCTGAGAGAAACAAATAATGCTGGTTTATAGCAATTAAGAAGGGATCAGCTATGAAAAAAAACAAAACGGGAAGGTGATAGACATTAATTAGCAAGAAAAAAAAATGATCATGCCATGCATGTCAATATGCTGATTATGTTTCATGGAGAATGTTGTTTTGCCACCATATTTCATAGCATATATAAATAAAATGTTTACGTTATCAAACTATCAATCTGAACTTAGATGTATGGGTTAGGTCAGTATGTTATACCGGTGTGTCCACCTTTCCCCCCACCTCCATTTGGGCTCGATTCCAGCACGGTACATTAGAGTAATTTAGAATATCATTTTGTAAAAAAAAATGATACTGACAGGAATCCCATTTGTTAACCAATTTGGGGCTAGTGATGGAAGGTACATGGAAAAAGCATACATATAAATTAAAAGCTCGTACAACTTTCTGCCAAATTAAGCTGCGTATTAAAGTAAGAAAAGGTTGGTGGAGAAAGAAGTTGGTTTAGGCACACTCAATTTTTTTTTCTTTTGGATTAATATACTATTAGAGTGTGGAGGAGAAATGGGGCCTGGAAGAAGTAGCCTAATGGATATGGACAGGTGGAGTTTTGAACTTTTGAGTGATCAACAACAAGGGCCCAGAAAAGTTTATCAAAGTTGGTTGAAGTGGGTTAATTCCAGTTGAGCCCAATATTGATTTCAGTCCATTTGTTCAAGCCCATTATTTTTGCTCCTTAGGGTAAAAATAAAAAAAATAAATAAAAAAATAACAGTGGTGCTCTTCATTTTAAGAAGAGTAAAAATTCCAATTTAAACAAAATGGAGAATCTGCAAAAGTGAGATAAGATTATTTGGTTTGAGAAAGCACGCATTGAAATGTTTGGCTGGCTGCTCTGAATGTCAATGAACAGTGTTTCTCTCCTTCCAGAATAAAGATTTCCGCAACAATGAATCACAACTGTTCAAATTGATCGGGCGGCTAAAAATAGTTACTCAAAACTTATCAGATTTTGACATGTGCAACTTTATAATTGGAAATGGAGTGTATTTGTCTAATGCCTCCAAAGATGCTTGTGTCATTCAATGATTGAGTGCGTGGGCAAAGGGGGAATCACCTTTAGGGTGATAATTTTTCACTTAGAAGGGTGAAAAACTTGGTGCTAATCCTTTAGAAAAGTGGAAAATCTGTGTTAACTTGTAGGAAAATCACCCCATCTGTTGAAACTAGTTCATCTCACCTCACCAAGAATTGACTAAGTACGTTCAATTACCTTTCAATAAAGCGTCAGTAAACGGCCACCCGCACATAATAAAGGAAAAAGTTTGTACACCTTTGTAAAAATTCATGATTTCACCTTCATCGTACAAAACCACCTGTCGAATCATCAAATATGCAACTTGGATGCCAAATCAGCGGCAACGATGCTTTGGCTTTTGGTTGGCTATGACTTTATGCCAATTTTGAACTCTGGAAGTCTATTGTTGCATTTGTTTAGTTTTTTTTTTTCTTCTTTTTTCTTGAGTTTCGCAGAAAAAATCAAGAGCTCTAGGCCAATAAAGACTGAGAAGGTTGACTTAAGAGAAAATTTCATTCATTAATAAATTTCATTAAGGGCTCCGTTGTAGAATTCAGACCTAACTATTAATCGAGAAGTGGTGAGAACACTATCATGTAATTGATATTGCCTTTCTATTAATGAAACTTTTGATACTGACCCAGAAAAAATCAGTGGCAATTTCGAAATCGAGCCCTTTCAATCTTGTTCTGTAGTTAACAGCGATGCACATGAGGAGCTAGCAGCAGCCCATGAGGCCAAATTTGAATTTCAACATGCGTGCCATTAATGGAAAGTGTTTGTTTCCCACGTAACAGCATGCAACTTTTCAACATCCTAGACAATAATATGGTGTACATATTCAATCTGGGCTCAACAAATCATTTGCACATGCGCCTTCACCCAAAATAGACACGTTTTCAACATCTCAAGTACTTTGTATACTAATACTTCTATAACCCATCTAGATCCTTTGATCGCTGTCACGGTGTGTTATGCGTGTCTTGCAAAGTCTCCATCAATGCATGATCAATGAATCTGAGCATCATACGTAATCATTTCGACCCCAGATATTTCTGAATTTCATCCAACATACAAAAAGATATACATACAGTTTCTTTTTCTTTTATGGCAGGGTGGAAATTTTTGATGTGTTATACAAGTTATGCGTTTCTGTGTATTTTGGCTTTGTTCGGCAATTGAAGTTGCGTATTATATTTAGAAAAAAATGTTCAATCCTCGACCTCAAAAGTTTGGAACTTGATGAGAAGCGGCAACCATTTCTAAATTTGATTCTTGTATGCTGCTTCTCTTAATTTTCTCTTGTAACAGTTAGTGTAGTTTATCTTATCGGCCCCAACTTAACTTAATTAACTGAAGACATACCTGGGCTTAGTTAAGTTGGCTAGAACGAATGCGCTCCCTACTTTGCATTCAAGTTCGAATTTACCTCCCCGTAATTTAGATTATATTAAAGTGAATATCATTTGCATGAAAATACAAAAACAAAAAACTTAAGGGTTGTTTGATAACCATTTCTTTTTCATTTTTCCTTTTTTATTTATCTATAAAACTAGAACTATGTTTGGTAACCAATTTCGTTTTTAGTTTTCAAAATCACCCTTAGTTTGGAAAACAACTTGAAAGTGTTTTCCTTTTCTTTCTTTTTTTGTCCCTTTTCATCTACTAATTTTACATCACCGCAAATGAAATACACTCCAGTTCCTAGAACTCGATATTTGGGACCTTTGGACTTGGATCTGACCACTCGATTCTTGCATTCGGCCACGAATCCACGCCAAGTCTTGGGACCTTTAGATCCAAAATTCACCAAAAAAAATCATCCTAATTTCAAAAAGTTCACTGAAAAATACTACAAACTCTTTGTAACATACATCTATGATCTCAAATTCATACTTCGACCCCAAAAATTCTATTTTCAAGCTCCACATAAAACTGAAAACTGAAATCAGTTACCAAACAACTTTTGTTTAGTTTTATGTTTCCTTGAAAATTAGAATTAGTTACCGAACAAGTTTTAAGTTTAAAAAAAAATAAAAACTAAAAACTAAAAACTAAATGGTTATCAAACGAACCTTAATTAACTGAAAGGTCTGCCGTTAGCAAACCCATTTAAAATTCTGGCTATAGAGACAATCCAAACTCATTAGTCTTTGTCATGGAGCTAGCATCTTCGAAATCCAAAGGTCCGCATAGTAGTTAAACAAAGGACACAATTTCCTCTTCACCGAGCACTCTAATCAAGAACTAGTTCTTCTTTTTTTTGGACGAAGATCAAGAACTAGTTCTTGTTGTCAAACCAGCTCATTGATCACATTAGAAGAGTAGAATGCGACCCATCTTAATTCTAACTCAGTTTCTCTCATTCCCTTATTACTTGTAACCCCAAAGGATTTTAGTTCATTATTTCATGTACAGAAACAATGTTAAAATAGTTTACTAAAAAGATTCACCATATAGCATATAGTTAAGTACAATAATTTTTCCTGAACACATATTTTACATAAATGTGCTATAATATAAGAGGATTCCAGTTAAGCCGACATATATATATTTGAAAATAAGTGATAGTATATTATTGATTAGCAAACAAAACGCATCTTCTCCAGTGACCAAACACAACATATATTGTATTGATATGGAGAGAATCATGCACAATCCCAACAATGACTAAATCCTCGATCCAGCAACCGAAAACACATATACTCATACCTACAATACAAATCCGCCGCGCAATGGCAGAAACAACATATACACTGGGCACACAACATATAGTTTTTCACATATTTGTAATAGAGAGATATAGCAGGTGAGTAGGCTAATTAATATCATATCTTCATAGCTTAGAAATATTAAACTTGGAAAACAAGTCTACAGTTAACGTACACAGATTCATTCCCTCCTCCAAACTTGGCTAAGAAACTTCAATTTTCAGTTACGACAATCACTACCAAAGAAGAAGAAGGATATCCTCATTTGATAGGGAAACTAATTATTGAATTTCTAGTTGTACCATCTTTTTATAATAGCGGTTCTCATGGCCTCCTCACTTGTGAATCCATGAGGAACTCTAGCCACAACATCTTGAAGCATCATTTCTTTCACGCTTGATATGCTTGCATGATAAACTTGTAATTCAAGGTCTTTTAGTGCATTCATCAATCTAGCATATGGGTAATTCTGATCCGGACTCTGAACTCGTATCATAGCTTCTGAGCCCACAATCTTCACATCCACTTCTATTGCCCCAGCTACTTCACAATTAGTATAACTTGATGCTGGCCTAGGCCTTGCTTGATGATGATGATGGTGACGATGATGATCGACTATGGAACTGGCACTTTGGTTGGATTGATGATGCTCAAGATTACTCAAAATACCTAATTTCGGTTTCTGGGGTTGTTGTTGGATTTTAGCCTCCAATTCCTCAACCCTTGCTTTGAGCTTATTGATGTACACAACTGCATCAGAAAGTAAAGAAGCTTTGTCCATTTTCGACACATTTGGAACAACAGAGCGGAGGGCGTAGAATCGATGGTTAAGCTTCTCTCTCCGCTGTCTCTCTGCCTCAACATGATTTATTGGTGATTCTCTATCAGTTCCATGGTTGGATGATCTTCCTCTCTTTTTTAATCGACCGTTATTCTCCGCATTCTCCGTCGTGAAATTTCCGACTGAGTCAGAAGGCCCTGAGTCTGACGATGATCCACCAATATTCAAAGCAAAACGTTCCTTTGTACCACCTGCACGTCAAAGAATTAAACATATATATAGATGGTAATGAAAAATTGAGTAAATGCCCTGATATGAAATAATGAAAAAGTGCATATATTTTATTCAAACACCATCGTTGATGTTTGTTGTATGTATTTCTTACCTTGTGCGGTCCACTCTTTTTGAGGTCCAGCCGAAAACATTCCACTTTCAAGCAGAGGAACAAGTACATGGCCCTCACGACTGCTCTGTGGCTTTGAGACTCTGCTGTTTTCTGATCCAAAAAGAGATTTGGAAACCTCCACAAGGCCCCAATCTTCTTTGATCACATCCAGAGAAGCCAGCTCAAGAACTCCACATGAAGTTTGAATACAAACCAGAGTTTGAATTCCATGCATTCGAGCTTCTTTCACTCTCTCACACTCATAGAATTGAAGCTCATGGTCACCTGCCAGCCAAACAAAACCGCCAGAACAAAACGCACGGCCCAGGATATTCCCAGTCCCATGGCATGCAGCAAACGACTGGGTTAAAGAAACCGTGTAAAAGTAGAACCACTCGGAGTCGGTGACATCTCCACCGTCCAAATCCATGTCTTCATGGAAAAGAGCTTCAACTTCTCTGTTAACAACCTTCTTTCTCTCCGTACTGATGAACCCGGATTTGGGTTGGTAATTATGGACTAATTTGTTGCTTCTTTTGGATGCCAAGTCCCTGGAGCTTCGGAAATGACCACCAGCCCAGGACAAAGCAACTTGGCCATTGCTGTCCTTAGAGGCTTGCCAGAAGATTGAGTAAACCCACCATTCAGGCCTGTTCTGGACGATGAACTGGAGACGTTGTTGAAGTGTGGCTGAGTTTTCTTGACCAAAGTTTGGAGAACAAGAGGACATAATTTCTTCCATTCAGGCTATTTTGTTTTCTTTTGTTTGCTAAATAACTTATGCAAGTCAAAAGTAGTAGCAAAAGAGACACGGAAGATGAGAAGCAGTGGAAGAAGACGGACCTGAGCGAATGAGGCTCTTGGTGTTGTGACTGTGTGTGAATTGGAATTAAATAATGGGATACCTACAACTAAGTCAAAAGTAGTAGCAAAAGAGACACGGAAGATGAGAAGCAGTGGAAGAAGACGGACCTGAGCGAATGAGGCTCTTGGTGTTGTGAGACTGTGTGTGAATTGGAATTAAATAATGGGATACCTACAACCTATCCTTGTACTATTTTTTGTAAACGTAGGACTAATTGTCCCATGTGATAAACGCAAGGTATGGTAGAGACCTTGAATGTGGCCAGATTTATGTGGGTTAACTTTGCGGGATTTCGTTTCATTGTCACTTGTCTGAAAATTGCACTCATCATTTGCCACCATGTTCTCCTACGAAATTGTTCTTCCTTCATTTTGAGTTAAGTGACAAATCTCAACATTTTTCTCCGAAAATGTTGCTAAACATACCACTTCATCATGTGAAAAACAACTGGTAGGCATGTTTGAAAGATAGTAAGATTACGAAGCGTTTTCCTTTTAGATGATGTCATTTTTGGATTATTATGTAATAGGGGAACAACTTCGTAAAGGTTTTCTCCATTGTTACTTTTTTTTGGGGTCAAGTTCTCCATTGTTTCCTTAATACAAGTACTAGAACATAGTTTTGAGCCTAAATTATCTGTGAGAGCAAAATATATGTATCTACAATTGATTATCTCGAGTATTCATCGGCATGAAATCGTAAATTATTACAAAATTCACATATGATCCACTATAAATATGATTGTTATAACATTAACAATCCAATTCAATATAACCCAATTGGCTTGGATGATTGATTTTTGAATGAAGGAAAAGAGTATTGAAACACAATATAATAAACATAAACGTGTTTAGATTACTGATACACCTAGAGCTTCAAATAGATAAACCAGATCAGATTGGAGCTTAAATCCTTTTTAAGGTTACTTCCAAATGAATTAAACCATGACCCCACTTCACTCTTAATAAGCATCCAAAATACAAATCATTATCACACTTGACCATCCAGATTTGGGTCAAAAATTCAAATTATGACCCCACCTCACTCCCATAAAACACAATAATATCAGTAATTAACATATATTGTACTAGTACACAGAATCAGTTAAATGCTCAATAATTCATCGTTGTGGCCTACTCCTGCGTCACCTAAAACGTTAAGACAGTACCCTCATCATAGTCTGTGGTGGGTGTGATTTTGGCCTTCTAGAACTCTTTGACAGTCAAGCATTTAGGGCATGTTTACTAATAAGGAATTGGAGTAACTATGAATCGGGTTAAGCAAGAAACGGAGTCATGCATTCTAATTAAGTTGTTTACTAACTGTCACGAATCATAATGAAAAAGAGTTCATTCCCATTAAAATGTTTACTATTCATCATGAATCGGAATGAAAATCATTTTGATTACGACAATGCCCTTGAACAAAATACATATATATTTCCAAAAACTACTACAATTTCATAAGAAAAAAAAATTCTTTCACTAATAATAAAACTAAATTTTGATTACAAAATAATAAGCTTAACTAACTTAATATTCTGTAAAAATAAAAACATAATAAAAAAAATTTATTAGTATCAACAGGTAGGTAGTTGTTTGAAAAAAATAAAACTGAAAAAATTAAAGAAGAAAAAGAAAAATGGAGATAGTAGTTCACACGCCTCTTTCTCTTTTTCTCTCTTCTTCCTCTTATATCCTTTTCTTTTTCTTCCTCTCTTTTTCTATTTATTTTTTTCTCCTTCTCTATCTCCCTCTTTCTTTCTTTTGCTGGAAGAAGATGAGAGGGTGGGGGAGGTGGTTGGGACCGTAGGGTATTTTTGGCATGAAAAACTTCATTTCCTTTTACCCTTCTCTAATCCCACCTCCCCTCTGCGGAATCAAATCTCTTCAATATCAGGAATCAGATTTGTTGTGCACCCCACACTACTGTTTATTCCGCCAGTGCAAATAAACAAAGGAGTCATTCGTAATGGGAATGACTTATTTTACCCAATCTCATTCCGATTATGTAAACATGCCTTGAAGATTCTTGTAAATCCAAGTGTCCCAAGTGATAATTGGGGTCCACTTGAAAGGAAAGCGAAAAGGAAAAACAAACCTACTCTAAGACTTTCCAGCCGCTACCTCTCAAACCCCTCCCGTCCCTTCAAGAAAGACTTCCATGCAGTGCAGATCCTCCGCGCAACAACAAAATGGCAAATCCGTATTAGAAGCCAAAACTAAATAAAAATAAAACAACCTAATGATAAAACAAAACATAGCAAACTCTTAAAAAGTTCCTGAAGATTGTTATACTTAAACAAACTAAGAAACAAAACCGCCGCTCCACATCCTTCCAAGCGACGCAAAGAGAGCCATAGTGTCATACCAGCTAAATTAAATTTATTTTAGAATTAAAAAAGATAAAGGATAGTTATGTTCCATAAAAATATGATCCATTATCTTATTTTTCTTTTATTTTAAATTTTTTTAAATATAAAAAAGTGTGAATTTA